CAATGTGGCGCGGGGTGTTTCCAAACTAGATATCCGCATTTTGTTTTGCCTCCACCCCCCCCCCGACTAGCGCCATAAACCAGGGCCGCCATCAGTAACTTGGTCCGACGGGGAGTGTGTGGGCACGGAGAGCCCCGCCGGAGCCACCGACCCACTCCCTGGAATCATCCCCGCAATAATAATATTAGAGTCATGCGCACCACCAGCATCAAATGAATCGATAATGAAATGCGGGCCCATACACCCATCTGCCGTCTTATGGTGCTGCTTAGTTGTCGTCGCCACATCCTTCGCCCAACACCACTGCTTAAAAAAAATCCTGCACGGCACTCGGCATCCGTGCTGCCTTGAGCGCCTCAACCGCTGTCGAATACATGCTCCCAAGGAAGTCAGGCCAACTCTCACTGTTCCGCTTCCGTCTCCAAATCATCTTGGATAGCAACCAACCCTTAAAGGCGTGCATCGTTCCAATGGCCTTGTTATCTGCCGTCATGCCTTCCACTGCAAACAAAAGGCGGTTTCTTACCCGTGAATCGTATCGCTGCTGTATTTTCTTCAACTCAATGCTTTGACACATGTGATACTTCTTATCCTGCCAGAAAGCCGGCTGAGCAAGAGAGATCCGATTAGTCCAATCCTCATGATGTTGCATATTGCTTTCAAGAATCGTTCCAAGTATGTCCAGCCGGTTGGTCTGCTGCAAAGTGAAGGTAACCCGCCGTTTTTGTCGTGCAAGCTCTGATCCCGCTCTCCACTCCGACCACGTGAGCCACACGGATGACGATACCCAAGAGAGACTTCCAAGCAATCGGTCCCAGGATCATCGCATACCAATCGAATAAAATGCAGACTGCTCGGCTTCCAACGAGAATTGCGTTGATAAAGCGGTCCAACGATCTTCGCAATCATGGTAGACAGCTCGCCCTGATCTCTGGCACACAGAAGAATGTTGTCAGCCCAGATCGCATGCGGGAGATGTCGACTTTCTGCCTGCGGCGTCAACTGCACCCCCAGCCCACGATTCTGCCAACTCGAAACAACTGACCGAAGCATGAGCACACTCTCACACAACCAGAAGGGCGGGGCTTCGACACTGCCAGTACGGACGCAACTATCCCAAGCTATATCCGAGACGTCCACCTGTTGAAGAGATAAATCGGCCCGATTGTCAGCCAGGCCATCTACAAGTCCATAAGTCAGCTCAGCTGGAAACCTCAACTCTTCAAGGCAATCTGCAACATCAGCAACCTGAGCATCATCATCAAAAGCGCAATACACGTCTAAGCTAGCCATGTGCATACAGTACTCCTTTCCCCCATTCCGTCGCGTGCTGCGCAACTCTCTTCAACCCACTCGTGATCTCGTGCGTCCGTCTTCCAGCAACAAGCCCGGAGAGCATGACCTCTGAGGCAACTCTCCGTTTGAGAAGGTCCACGGACAACAAGGTGAGACATGACATGTACCGTTAAGACAAGCAAGATAATAGTGAAGCTCGTGTCATTGAGATCGCAAGTCTGCACAGACTTCGGCATAAGCTTATGCAGATGTGGCGCCATACTGTGGGCGTGCAGTACTCGCGCTTGAACAGCTGCTGGAAACATCGCAACACCTGAAGACACCCTGACCATGGGACGTGCTTAAGCATAGAGACGCTGATGTTGTCCTCACCTACCGACTTACCAGTACGGAGGCGGGACCTAGCACGCATGAGTAAACCGATATCAATGGGCTGATACTCGTGCTCACCTCCTGCAGCCTCCTCCTCAACTCCTCAAGCTTACTGTCCGCGCGCGCGCGTTCGTTCTCATCCGCGTACATGTGCAAGCTGTGCTCTCTGAGGGCCTTCTCCCACTTAGATTTGCCCCAAGCGCGCTCACCCTCAATCTTGGGCGTCCTAAGGTACGACGCTGGAGATCTGGACGGAACTCCTTCTGCAAGATGTTCCTTCTATGCTTCCTCCTCTCATATCTGCATCTTCGCCTCGCCTCCTTCAACTCCCTCCCAGTACACGCCCCGATCCTCCATTTCCTCCCCAGCTCAAGAGACGCCTCACGAGCAGAGACATATCTCACAGAAACCTTCGGTGTGAGATCGGTATTGGTGGGGACCTCGCCGATTTCCTCACAGGGCTGCCTGATCTTCTCGCCTGAGTCCGCGGGTGAGAGACGCGTCATTCCACTCCAAGGTCTGATCTGTCTGGCTGCCACCAGACACAAGGGACGCATCCACCGCATAACGCAGTAGAGGTACACCATGCGACTCAACATGCGTGTGCTACGCACAGGACCACGGTGCACGTCTCGACGCGGCAAGTCACGAGCAGGGATACGCAACCGTAGCAGACGATGATCACTCCAAATACTCGAGGCCACGCACCCGGACATAACAGCTGCCCCCGGCTGGGGCCACGAAACGGAGGCCTCTGGAGCTCCCCAAGACGAAGGTACACGCATTTAGCCATAGACGTGGGGGAATGACTGCTCCTGTGTGAGTGACTGATATAAGCCCATTTAGCAGAGCGCCAAGTAGGGTGAATCGCGGGGTTGAAAGTGTTAACGAACTGGAGGCCCAGGGCGCCAATAGTGAACGTCAAGGCCTCACTGAACTCCAAAGCCAACTCCTTACATCCACTCTAAGATCCCCCATCCCTCGTAGGAGTAATAAGCACACCTACAACACTAGAACCCGAGACGGCCTGAGACTTGTAGGAAGTCTGAGGCTCGACCTCCACATAAGGATCGGTTCCTAAAACAACATCCGGAACTGGAAGCCGGCGGTAAACCGTCAACCGTTTTTCTTTGCGGTCTTTCCGGCCCACTGCGCAGGCTTTCCGGCCGAGTCGAGCGGACGCATCGGGAGCAGGCGGAGCCTCACCGATCCAAACGATCAGGAAGGCGAAAACCAGAGCGCTCATGAGAATGCGAAGTCAAGCACGCACGCACGACAAACACACACAAGCATGGAATGGGTGAACAACAATCACTTATGCACATCGTATCAAATCCTGGATACGCTTTTACAAACAGCGGAGAATCGCATGCCCAACGGCCGAGATCTCGACATCAGTCACCATCGAAGTTGGGTTAATCCAGAGGCCGCACTATACACGTCTGTCCAGCTCGTGGCTGAGCACTTGCCTGGAGACTCTCGATACACGCCAACATGAATCCAGCACCCGACTCCCACGCCGTCGCAAGAAACGCCAGCATCGAATCCAGCTCTGATAGCACACGCGCGCAACACCTGATCTAGCTGTGGGGCGTACCGATCCTGTCAGGATGGACTGGTGGCCCACAGCGGGCCGCGTGAGTGAGTACATCTGCACGCATGTTCCATTCCCTGTAAGCGTGGTCAAAAGCCACTTTGTGCCCTGCATGGTCTATGAAAGTGTACATATAACGTCCCCACATGTTCCCGCATGTTTGCGGGGACGCTTTTTCGTGGTTTGTCGGCCTTAGGATCCGCCTAATAATCACGAACTCACATCATCTTAAATTCGAAAAACGCTTGTACAATCCGCGGCAAGACAAGAGTTTGTGTCCTGCAAGGTCTATGAAAGTGTACATATAGCGTCCCCGCATTTTTCCGAATATGTATGGGGGCGCTTTTTCGAGGTGCGTCGACCTTAGTATCCGCGCAGCAATCACAACGAATGGATTGAATAACGTGCGTCTGTAAACTAACCAACAAATTCACAACTTCGTTGAAGTCTGTCAACGTCCTGCCAGTTTTACACACTTCGTCAAAATTCTGTACCCCGCAAAATCTACACGCTGCTATGCTGGCGCCTTTGTATTTCTCTTTGCCTTTGTGGGCAAGTCTCCTACATTACGACACTGGGAACCGGCGGTAAATCGTCAACCTTGGCTACCGCCGGGAACTCGCATAGCTTCCTCGCGGAATGCGGGCGCGGCAATCTTGCATTCCGCGCGCGCGAAGGCGCGGTTTCACGGGGGAAGACGCGGAGGCGAAGAAGGAGTGAGGAGGAGAGGGAGATGGAGGAGGCAAAGGAAGAGAAGGAGGAGGAGAAGAAGGAGCAGGCAGAGGAGAATGAGGGGAAGGAGGAAGAGCAGCAAGACGAGCAGAAGGGGAAGGGTGGAGAGGGAAAAGAGGAGCGATTGAGTAGAATACGTATAATGTGTTAGCACCAGCTCTGGAAGCAGACCGAGTTCGGGCATCTAGATACTCGAGACTAGCGCGTCTGCTGATATTATTTCGATTGCTGTGCCAAACAGCACTGTTGCTCATCTACAGCTCGAGTTGCATCCATAAACTCATGATGAGCTCTGGAAAATTAGCAGAGTACGAATAATTGTTCAAGCCCAGCTGCGGTAGCACACCGAGTTCGGGCATCTAGATACTTCAGAAGAGCGCGCCTGCTGATTTTGTTTCGATTGTTGTACCGACCAGCTCTGTATCTCATCTGCAGCTCGAGCTACATCAAGAAAAGCATCGTCATCTCTTAAAAACTGGCAGAGTGCGAATACGCTTTACGACCCAGCTGTGGTAGCACACCGAGTTCGGGCATCTAGAAACTTCAGAAGAGCGCTCCATATGATGTTCTTCCGATTGCTGTACCGAACATCTCTGTAGCTCCTCTGCAGCTCGAGTTGCATCAATAAACCCAGCATCATCTCTGGAAAAATTCGCAGAGTACGAATAGTTTTTCAGACCCAGCTCTGGCAGCAGACCGAGTTCAGGCATCTGAATACTCAGGACTCGTGCGCCTGATGAGTCTCTTTCGATTGCTGTGCCGAACAGCTCTGTAGCTCTTCTACAGGTCGGGTTAAGTTGAGAAAACCGAAAGCACCTGCCAGGATGACACTCAGCAGCCGATCCCGCCGGGATGCCTTTTAGCAGTAATAGGTACCCGATCAACCTGCGATTAAGATGGCGAGCGGGAACAAGATCGAATATAATGAAAAATACTAGAGCTCTAAGGACCTGTTGAATTTCGAGAAATCGCATTACAACCCAACAAATGTATGCAAAACTGGGAGCCCGCGGTAAACCGTCAACCTTGGTTTTTGAGTTTGAGTTTGAGTCAGGGCGCGGACAGCTGTGACAGCTGAGCCCTCAGACTCCCGAACGGAGCACAGGGTAGCTAGAAAAAGGCATCTCTTATCATCACACTGCCGAGCCACTGAGGCATAGGCATCGAAATAGGATGCACGAACAAGGAAAAGGATGCAGCACGCCATGTGAAATTGCAAAGGTGTAGGAACAGGTTAGAGATGAAAGAGGCTACCCAAAACGTGCACCACGGCCATACAGAGCCGTTGCGCTGCAAACATCACACAGAACACGACAGAAGCAGAGGCATCAAGCGAGAAAGCTTCCTCCGCCACGAACAGCCACGTCCCGTGTACACACAAACCTAAACACCATTCTGCAGCACATCCCTCCACAGAGCGACCTCCGTCGAAGAATTCACGGAGGCCGTCTAGTTTTGTGTTGCTCGCATGTTCAATAAGGGAAGTATGGAATACAACGTAACAATTTCTGGTTCTGGCCAACCATGTCAGCCTATGTGCAATCACTAAATCAATCAATCAATTGGGTATCCCGCCTTGGCCGCCAACTCGCGGTAGTTCTTTACATTGCGACGCGTCCATTCATCCTGAAAATTCGTCACGTATTTCATGGCTGCCGTAACGCTTTTGGGAACGAGTCTGTGGTGACTAAAGTCTCTGATATCCGTCGACAGATGGGTCAAATTGGCTATCGGGCCAAGTCTCGCGCGACCCCGAAGAAGCGCTTCAAGCAACACAGCCTTTTCTTCGGCACCCGAGGCCATAAAGGCGATACAGCGCGGCAGCCGTGAAAGAGTGCACGAGCTTTACCCAGCCAGACTTGCGGAAGCAGTATTTCCTCATCCTTACCTTACACGCCAACTGAAGCAAATAATCTGCGTGGTTACGTTTCTCCTCGTCCTCCGTCACTGCTGAACTCACAACTGCATTAGATAAACTCCCAGTCGTGGAACTCCCCAGGGTGCGAAGCCATAGAATCTTTATGATGAGGAGGCCAAGAGGTTACACAAAGGTTCCTATTGTGGCTCTGCAAGCGTTGCTCCACCAACCGTTGAGCAACCTTGGTTACCGCCGGGAACTCGCATAGCTTCCTCGCGGAATGCGGGCGCGGCAATCTTGCATTCCGCGCGCGAGGGCGCGGTTTCATGGAGGACGCGAAGGTGAAGAAGGAGCGAGGAGGAAAAGGAGATGGAGGAGGCCGAGGAAGAGAAGGAGGATGAGAAAAAAAAGAGCAGGCAGACGAGAATGAGGGGAAGGAGAAAGACCAGCATGACGAGCAGAATAGTTTTTGGGCACCAGCTCTGGAAGCAGACCGAGTTCGGGCATCTAGATAGACAACCACGTTTGATGATTTGATTCCGATTGCTGTGCCAAACAGCTCTGTAGCACATCTACAGATCGAGTTGCATCCATAAACTCATGATGAGCTCTGAAAAATTACGAGGAGTACGAATAGTTGTTCGGACCCAGCTGTGGTAGCACACCGAGTTCAGGCACCTAGATACTCCAGAACAGCGCTTCTGGTGATTGTCTTCCGATTGTTGTGCCGAACAGCTCTGCATCTCATCTGCAACTCGAGCTACATCAAGGAAAGCATCGTCATCTTTAAAAAAATTGGCACAATACGAATAGCAGCTGCGGTAGCACACCGAGTTCGGGCATCTAGATACTTCAGAGGAGCGCTCCATATGATGTTCTTTCGACCGATGCACCGAACATATATGTAGCCCATCTGCAGCTCGAGCTGCATCAGGAAACTCATCATCATCTCTGGAAAAATTGCAGAGTACGACTTAACTCGAGCATTTGATGAGCTAAAGGGCTCTTCGGCACAGCAATCGGAGGGTAATGATCAGGCGCGCTAGTCTAAAGCATCTACCGGAAAGCTTTCCTGGCGAGCCCTCGGACGCTCTCCTGAAGCTCTTCTGGGGCTCTGGGAGCTCCCCTGCAGCGCTTCTGAAGTGCTGCCAGGAACGCTTCCTCGCGTGCCTGCACGCGTGCAGGCACGCATGGACGCTTGCCGGAAGCTCTCCCGGACGGGCTGCGAGGTTTTACAGGTCGCTGCGTGGCTGTTGGCGGGCACCACCACCGTCTGGCTTCTAATCCAAAACCCTCTAGCTCTCAGAGAGCTCTCTGGGAATAATATATGGTCAGGAAGCTCTACGAGTCCCCCGGCGGTAAGAAACATTGACGGTTTACCGCCGGCGCCCAGTTTATGATCAAAACACTTGGCGGAACCAACTCTATCTCGACATGAAAACATAAATGCTCATTTTTCCCAACCCTCCTGCGTTGGGTACTCGTTTTGAATAGAGCACTGCGGTCTCCGTTCTCCTCCTCCCGCCCCCCGCCTCTCTTCCCCTCCTCTCCTCTCTTGCTTGCCTTCTCCTCCTCTCTTCGCTCCTCCTCTTCTCTTCTCTTGCCTTTCACGTCATCCCTGGCGGGCTGCGATCTGCGGAACTGTCACCACTTTCGAGGACTGCTGGTGGGTCCAGCGGAGTGAGGCACCACGGGGACTCAGATTAGACCTCGCCATCCCTGGGAGGGGGGGGGCGATCTGTGAAACTGTCGCCACTTTCGAAGGCTGCTGGTGGGTCCAGCGGAGTAAGGCACCACGGGGACTCAGATTAGACCTCGCCATCTCTGGGGGGGGGCGCGATCTGTGAAACTGTCGCCACTTTCGAGGGCTGCTGGTGGGTCCAGCGGAGTGAGGCACCACGGGGACTCAGATTAGACCTCGCCATCTCTGGGGGGCTGCGATCTGTGAAACTGTCGCCACTTTCGAGGGCTGCTGGTGGGTCCAGCGGAGTGAGGCACCACGGGGACTCAGATTATGCCTCGCCATCTCTGGGGGGCTGCGATCTGTGAAACTGTCACCACTTTCGAGGGCTGCTGCTGGGTCCCGCGGAGCAAGGCACCACGGCGACTTAGATTAGACCTCGCCATCCCTGTGTGAAACTGTCGCCACTTTCGAAGCTGCTGGTGGGTCCAGCGGAGTGAGGCACCACGGGGACTCAGATTAGACCTCGCCATCTCTGGGGGGGGGCTGCGATCTGTGAAACTGTCACCACTTGCGAGGGCTGCTGATGGGTCCAGCGGAGTGAGGCACCACGGGGACTCAGATTAGACCTCGCCATCTCTGGGAGGCTGCGATCTGCGGAACTGTCACCACTTTCGAGGGCTGCTGGTGGGTCCAGCGGAGTGAGGCACCACGGGGACTCAGATTAGACGTCGCCACCCCTGGGCGGCTGCGATCTGTGAAACTGTCGCCACTTTCGAGGGCTGTGGCCAGCGGAGTGAGGCACCACGGGGACTGAGATTATGACCACGAGCAATGCTCGCGTGCCCTTGCTCCGCGTTTCGTGCCACGTGGCGCTGCGACTCGAGCTGGCGGTCGCCCTCCGGACCCGCAGAAACATTTCTGAGCTCGATGGGGAACTATAGGAAAGAAGTGCAGGAAACGGAGTCCTGTCATGCACTCGCCGATACCTCGTTGCCCTGTCATCGTCTTAGCTGTTGCATGATCACTATCTGGCCTGCCGGCGCCGCGGCTCGAGCTGCCGGTCGCCCTTCGGGCCCGCGGAAATATCTTCTGAGACAAGTGGACGCCGCCGCTTTACTTGCAGGCAGCGCATTGCATTCGCGGACAGTAGCATGGCAGACCGCAGTGAGATTCTCAGTCGAGTGGTGTTGCCAAGCCTGGTGGAGACGCGCATGATCGACCTGAAGTCCCAATCGAGCGTGCACTGTATCTGCGTGGCGTTCAGGCACGCGCGTGATGCTGCTCGCTCCGCGTTCAACCCTTCCGATTGTTGTACTGGACAGATCTAGCCAAGCTGCGCCTCATTATTTCCTTTCATTTATGCAGTTAAGTGAATGAATGTACCGTCATCGGTCGAATGCGGATAGTTTTGCGACCTAGCTCGGGCGCAGACTGAGTTCAGAGCTCTGGATGCTTCAGACGAACGCATATGTCGATTGAGCTGTGCTAAAGCTCGAGTTCAGTGCAGAACACCGACATAGAGAACTCGAAGAATACAAATGGTTTTGCAGACCTGGCTCGAGTAGCAAACCTAGCCAACAGACAGGTGGGTCTGATGATTTTCAATTGGTTGAGTACCAGCTCTAAAGCGGTTCTACAGCCCGGTTTAAGTACTGAAAACCGCACCTCAAGATGACTCGAAGAATACGAATAGTTTCGGAATCTAGCTCGAGTAGCAGACCGACTTCAGATTTTTTCATGCAATTCACGAACATGTCTGGTTCGAAATCAGTTACGTGCGCATATCAGTTTTTTTGGTTCCTCTACATATCGGATTAAACACAGAAAATCGACAGTATTCAAAACAAAAGTTATAGACTACGATAGTTTCGCGACCTAGCTCGAGTAGTAAACCGAGTTTCAAGCCTCGATGCTAGAGACTGAATACATCCTTTGCTCTGGATACCAGCTTTGTAGCTCTACTACAGCCCGAGTTAAGTACGAAGAATCGACAGCACCTATCAAGATGACCCACATAATCGAGTAGTTTCGCGGACCCAGCTCGGGTAGCGGACCGAGTTCAGACTTCTAAGTTCAACTTGCGGACGCGCCTGATGAGAATGAATCGGTTTCTGTAAGTATGAGCTCTCCAGCTGCTCTCGAGCTCGAGTTAACAAAACCGTCAACGCGTTTCAAGATGACTCAAAATGGTTGATTCCGCCGCAACGCTTTTTGGCATTAAAAAGTACCCCATCGAGCTGAGATCAAAATGACGAGCGGAAACGAGGTCGAATGCAGTAAGGAAGATTTCTAGAGCTTAAACGAATTGTTGAATTTCGAGAACAAAACTTGGTAGCATCCACTTGGTAGCGTCCAAAGGGATCGTCAAGAGAGGGAAACTTGGTAGCGTCCAAAACCCGGAGAGCGAAGAGAATCTCGGGGACGGGGAGCTTGGTAGCGTCCAAAACCCGGAAAGCGGAGAGAATCTCGGGGACGGGAAACTTGCAACGTCCAAAACCCGGAGAGCGAAGAGACCGTCAGAAGGGGGAACTCTTTCCTCGAGAGCGCTGGGGGGCTCCCCTGCAGCGCTGTCGAAGCCCTCCAGGAACGCTTCCACATGTGCCTGCACGCGTGCAGGCACACGTGGACGGCGCCACCGAACCCGCTGCCGGCTCGCCGGAGCTTCTGCGAGGCCTGTGGACCGCCGTGGAGGAGCTCCTGGCTCGCACCACCACCGTCAGGCTTCTAATCTTAAGCCCTTTAGCTCTCAGCGAGCTCTCCGGGAATCTTTCCTCGAGAGCGCTCGGGGACGCCCCTCCAGCCGCTGTCGAAGCGCTGCCAGGAACGCTTCCACGCGTGCCTGCATGCGTGCAGGCACACGTAGACAGCGCCCCCGAACCCGCTGCCGGCTCGCCGGACTTTCTGCGAGGCCTGTGGAGCGACAGAAAGGAGCTCCTGGCGGGCACCACCACCATCCGGCTTCTATTCTTAACCCTTTAGCCCTCAGCGAGCTCTCCGGGAAAAACCCGGAAAGCAAAGAGAACACACACCGGTAATTGTCCTGGCGAACCTTTTGGCGCTCTCGTCATGCGCTACTGAGGCTCTGGGGGGGGTTCCCCGCAGCGCTTCTGAAGCGCTTCCAGGAAAGCTTCCACGCGTGCCTGCACGGATGCAGCCTCGCGTGGAAGCTTGCCTGAAGCTCGCCCGGACCCGCTGCAACGTTTTACAGGCCCCTCTGGGGAATGTGGACCGGCGAAGATGGGCTGCTGGCGGGCACCACCACCGTCCGGCTTCTAATCTTAGGCCCTCCAGCTCTCAGAGAGCTTCCGGTAATCTCGAACTGACAAAAAGTCAGCAAAGGGTCCGTCGAGATTTTTCTTGCCAACTAGCTCTCCGGCGCCCTGGAACGCCCGGTGAATCGTCAACCTGGTCACCGCCGGAACCTCGTAGAGCTGCTTACCCGCGTGAGAGTGCCCTACATCAGAAGAGAGGGCTACTGGAAGCACTTCTCGAGAAATTGAACAGTGATGTTTTTCATGTCAAGGTGAAGTTGGTTTCGCCAAGTGCTTCGATAGTAA